CCCTAAAATATCCTTTTGTCTCCAGCCTCGGGGTCAGCTTTCCCTCTGACCCTGTGTGTCGAAACAGACCGAGAGAATTCTGAACTTTGCCCAGTAGAAGAGCAGCGCTTTTAACATATTATTTCCTTCGCCATAGATTTCTTGGATTTCTGTCTGATTGAGTTTTTGAACGAGATACTGTAATATTCCTCAACAAAAGGAAGTGTGTTTTATAGACTTCAATGTTTGGCTATGAAAATATAATCTAAGAGCATAGCTTTCTCAGAGTTTTATGTCCCCAGAATTGAATAAAGTCTACAAATCAACAATGAATTCCAACCCCATGATTCAACAGACTCGTTCAGTTCGTGCATGTAAGAATTGTGAGGATGTTTATTCATCTTTATACTTGCTCAATCAAAGGAGTTTAAAAAGCGAGCTAGGTATCAGGGTTTTAAAACAAAATTAAACAACGCTCCAGTATTTTCTGAAACCTTCCGTGAATACACCAGCACAACATGTTCCTTTCTCCAGAAAGGGGAAATTAAATCAGTCGAGCAAATTAATCTCGGAGTGTCTAATCAAAAAACAAGGACACAGGTCAAGATTATTCTGACAATCACATCTCCAGGATTTCCACAGGAGAACTCTGACACATGTGATCACAGACTTCATTAACATGGAGCATGGGGGCTCTCGTGGCCTAGAGGTCAAGGTGTTGACCTCTCATTCAAAAGTCCGGGGTTCGAATCCGGGTAGCGACCGAAAAATCTTCTTCTCTAAAATTGTCTCCTTTCACCTTCATTCCTGCTCTCTAGCAATGTTCTGTCGTCTGCTTTTGTCTCCACTTTCTTCCCCAACCCCCTCACCTCCTTTGCCCCTTCCTCTGGGCTCCTGACTCTTTCTGCAGCCTTTCTACTGCTACTCCTTTGCTACTCCTTGGCTCCTTCTTACTGTTGTCTTTCAGCCACACCCCTGATCTTCTGGTAGGAAACATCTACACTACCCCTAGCCTCCCCAGACAAAGGCGAGTTCTTTTGTTTCCGAAATTTATAATGTTAGATCTTATTACACGCACACACCTGCCTCCAATAACCACACACACACACACACACACACACACACACACACACACACATACACACACACACATACACACACACACAAAC